CCCCCCCCCCCCTCCAGATACACACACTTTTGCATGCTTGAATGCTTGGCTTCTCAATTTGTTAGTTGGTTGTTGTTTTTTTCTTCAAATCTGATTAAATAAATACCATGCAAAACAATCCTATAACATAATAATGTTGTCATTGCTGCTGGTGCTGGTGTTGTTTTTGCTGTTTTGTTGTTGTTATTGTTGCTGCTGCCGTTATCGTTGTTGTTTTACCTAAGTCAACACGTTGATAGCCATATTTCGCAAGAAACAGAGGAAAAGTAGCAAGCACAAGACCTGACAAATGTTGAAGACAATGCCATTACGACTGCCCCCTACATGGATGAAAGAGTTCAGCTTGAGTCTGAGAGAGAAGCGCATCCACACAATAACGGCCATGTTATATTGAGGAGAAAACAAGACAGGCAGATGAAAGCAAAAGACGGAAAAGAAAGAAAATTGGCCTGATAGTGGCTTGAGGAATAAAAGAACAGAAATAAAAAACTAAAACACAAATAAAGCAAAGCAAACAAACAAAACAACAACCTATCCTAAACTACACCAGGAAACTACTTACTGACGGCCACTGCGTATGAACCACTGATAACATTATCATTCTTGTACGACCCTTGACACAAGTCCCCCAATGAGCCCAAGCTGAATGTCGAACCCCCTAGTGAAGCGAGAGCTAGTACAACGACTGATAGTTCCCGGTTGTTATACGGTTTTCACAAGGCTCTGTCCACGTGAGATTAACCTGTTTACGTTGTCCAGATTGTGGGATAGACCACAGCGTGTAACGTAGTTGTTCAAACGTTTACAAAGCTGCGAATAAATATTAAAGTATTCTCACCATGTCGATAGCTAGCTTAGAATTACAAAGTTTTATCTGACATTTTTGGCCGTTTTGAGTTACTAAGACCATTGGGCCAGAAAACAATAAATGTTGTATCTGCTCTACCAAAATCAGTTGTTATCACAATGTTTAAAGAATTGCATTCGGAAAAGCTTGACATGTTGGGAAACTCAGTCGTTTCTTTTACCTAAAATTCCTCAAAACTAGAAACCAAGCAGACAGACCTTTGTAATGCTAGGATAGCTATGGCTGTCCTTCTGACGTCTTGGTCTCTCAGAGTATACCAACTACGGTTTTACATGATACCAAGCCATTGGGCACTGCAGGAAAAGGTTTAGACGCTCACAATTGAAAGAGTTCATTAGGCAGATGGGTACCTCACCAAAGGTTGTCCAGTACGTTTTCCTAAGAATTGTAATAATATACTACTGTGTGCATACCCATACACACCAAGCTAGTTGAAATTACCACACAAAATCAAGCGATCAAGGCAAACACTTACATTATAAAGAAAATTCTAGCCAGCAAATAGCTCTCAGGATGATTTCTAACAACTGAACCAACAGTTTAGATCCCACACACAAGTTGGCTTACAGTTTCTAAACTCGCCTTGCGTAAATCGCTTACTTTCTGTCAATGGCGTGTTCCCTGAGCAGGTGTCGGATCGGGTACGGGTAGTTCTCACAGGGCTGACCACTGGCGTGTCCAGGGCTATCTAACGGGCTCCAGGGTCGCTCTCGCCTATTGATCAGGTGGAGCCTGTAACATTAAACACTGAATCATAATCGCTGTTTGCTCCAAGAAGCTGCTAATTGAATTGCCACTCATTTGAACAGTGGCGAAGGAGTGAATTTCTTGATCGCCATTTTTGGAGTATACTCTTTTACTCTTTACCATGTTGTTTTGTTTCGTTTGTTTGTTTCTTCGAGCATTTAGTTGTTTGTTTGTTTTTCTACACATTCCACAAATCAATAAAGTTTATGAAGTGCAATCTTTCTCAATATATTTTCTAAACATACAAGGAAACCTCCGTCATAGTACGAATAAAACTACACGAAATCTCTAACACAGTGCAAAGCATACATCGATTAGAATGTAGTGCTAAAGATCTAGTTTAGTTAAGGGTGCTTCATTTGATTAACGTTCATCTTAGTAACAAGAAATTATTGCTGTTGTAGAAGAAAACCGATGTGACATTTTAGCCTAAACTAATACTACAGCGATTTTGCACAAAAATAATAATAATAGTAATATAAAGGACTTGCAAAAGCTTTATCTTAATACATGCAAAAACCACGACTGCTACACAAAATAGAACGATTTTTCTCTATTAGTGACGGGAAGTGTCATCTCGACCGAGTAAAAGTTCGAAAACAGACATCAGCGATCATGGTCGCCATCATTCCTTTGCTGGACTGCTCTAAAAATAGATCATTATTGTCCTGGTCTTCTGCGTCAACAATCTTTAAAAGTTCTCTAAGTAAGTTGTTCACGGCCTACCTTTGCCTGTGTTGCCTTGTAGGCCTATTTAAAAAGAGAAGCATGAAAACTTTAAAGAAGCACGGCCACAAAATAACATAATTTATTATACAAGTAGTAAAAAAAAGAATGACAGATGGACACATCACAGCGGGAAAAAAAAAATCAAGACATCCCAGTGACGCTCTCCGCCCATCAGCTTAGATCGATCTTTGTCGCCTAAAACGAAAACAAAAAACAACAGACAAACAACAAGCATCAACTCGACCGAGAATCTTAACACGTTGTAAGTCTCAAGGCGTTGAAGTGGATCGAACTAATACAAAAAATTTCGCGTTAGCGGATTGCTGCGTAAGTAAACTGATTTAAAAAAAGAAAGTGTGACAAGGGTCACAGTTTCGTACCTTTTACTACCCCCACTCCCTGATCTATCTATCTATCGATATGTCTATCTATCGATCTGTCTATCTATCTATCTATTTGTTTGCATACGGGGCTGCTGTGGGGGGGGGGGGTGTAAGTGTGGGTGTCTGCCCGTGTGTGCGTGTGTGAGCGTGTATGTGCGCGCGCACGTGTGTGTTTGCGTGTGCGTATGTGTGCGTGAGTGCGTGTTTGTCTGCTAAGCTTCTAAGTTGGCACATTCCTCAGGATTGACTAGATACACGTACGGCCCAGACAGATTGGGAAATTTGGCTGTTATCAGAGGTTTTAGGAAGAGATCGATACCAGACATGTTAAGGTGCTGGGGTGGGGGCTACTGTTAGGAAAAGGGGGGGGGGGTGGCGGCAGGCAACGAGAGAAACAGAAACAGGGAACGGGGGGCGGAAGAACCAGCATAAAAAGAGGGGGGGAGAGAGTGAGTGTGAGAGAGAGAGAGAGAGAGAGAGAGAAAGAGAGGGGGGAGAGAGAGAAGAAGAAGAAGGAGGGATACTAAAAATTAAGACTTAATTAATTACTACTGCTATAGCACAAACTATTTACACCCAGGCAATTATCTCTATTCTAGAAAGAAAGTGATGGAATGCTACACCTTCCCCATATTCCTGTATGGGGCTGAGACCTGGACTTTGACAAAGAAGGAAGAAAATAAAACAGCTGCGTGTGAGGTATGGTGCTTCCGCAGAATGGCCACAAAAAAGACGAACACTCAGGTGTGTCAGATTCTCCACACTAGACAAACCCTGCTGAAGAAAAATACAATACTCTGTCCACTTAAAACATAAAAGATGTGTTTGAAGGAAGGAAGTGGAGCAGGGGAGCCAGGGAAAGACAAAGAGTAACATGGATGGACAACACAAAAACATAGACTGGACAGGATATAGCAGAATGTACTATGGCAGTTCGCAGCCGTGGAGGATGGTAGGTCATTATACGCCAACCTCTGACTCAGGAATGTCACCTCCGGGTATTCCAGGTATGGCAAGACAAAAAGAGTTGTCCCTGAGTAACGGTGAAGTTATTTGTGTGCTCAACTTGTTTCATCATCCAGTGCCAGATCTGCAACAGATATCGGCGATCATGATTCTCCATTCATTCCTTTCCTCGGAAGCTCTAAAAAAAAGCCACGTTTCCCTGATCTTTCCCTGTTACCCATTTGTTTAGGTTCCCCAAGTATGCTGTTCTGGCCCTTCCCCTGCCTTGCTTCAAATTGTTTACAGGAATAAAATACTTGAATCCATTTGAAGTAATATATAGACAGAATAAGCATACCTTTACTGTCCTGACCCCTCCACTTCTTTAGATACCCCTCCCCGAAAAAAACACCCCCACCCCGCCTCATTCCCCATATCCCCCGAATAAAAAAAATCAAACCACGAACCCGTTCCTACCCTCCAATACTCAAAATCAAGCACACAAACAAAACATAAATGAAAAGCAGAAAAAAAATTGAACAAAGTAATAAACGAACAAAACGTATAGATCTAGCCAATGCAGGACAAAAGCTACAAAAAAGACAAAGTATTTCACACATTCCTGAAGTCTGTACGGATTCGCTAAGACGCAAAAATCGAGTAAGGACTCAGTAACCGAATGACAAACCCAGCCCTCGCCGCGGACCGAGGTTTCCTCTTATCGGATTATCGTCTTTGCCTTTAGTATACGTGGATTAGATGTGGTTGCGTGGACGTTTTCATGAGCCTTGGAAAAGATTGTGACATCGACTTGCCGAAAGAATAACCTTATTTGATTTGTTATCATTCATAGGTCAGAGAGTGAAAATGAACCAGATTATTTTCTCACATTTATTAACTAGCTTGAGTTTCTAAATTCAAGTAATTTACATCAATGTGTAGAGTGAAAGAATGAGAGAGAGAAAGGGAGAGAGAGAGAGAGAGAGAGAGAGAGAGAGAGAGAGAGAGAGAGAGTGAGACAGAGAGCGAGGGAGGGGGGATGAGATAAGGGGTGTGAGAGAGAGGAGGAGAGAGTTGGATTAAAATCGAGAGTGTCGTAGGGAAACAAGAGTGAGAGAGAGAATAGATTCAGGGAAAACTGGAGAGAAAGAAATACAGAGAGGATAGGGAGGAGAAAGGTATAGAATTCAAGAGGTTGAGAGAGATAGTATCATTCCGTGGAGAGCCTTAGAGTAGAATAGAAAGTGAAAGATAAAATGTGGGAGAGAGAAAAACTGTATGACAGTGAGTGAGACAGGGAGAGAGAAAGAGAGAGAGAGAGAGAGAGAGAGAGAGAGAGAGAGAGAGAGAGAGAGAGAGCGTATGAGCAAAAGATTAAGGGTGGTAATAAAAATGTACAAACTATTGATTAAATAGAGACAGCATATTGTAGAAAACAGAGAGAATAACGTTGGGAATAAGGGAGTGGTGAATTTTTCACACTTTATTACACAAAGTCATTTCAAGCAACAACAACAACAACAAAAACGGGACTATCATCCAGACACCGAGAAGAAAAGATTTTTTAACCTTTTGAAACAGACGACATAAATCCGACCCCAAGATAGAAACACTCCGTAAGACAGACTTCCCTCATGCAGAAATTGAACTCAGGACTTCTGCGTTCAACGGGGAAGAGCTTAAAACCATGACACTACAAACACGGAGCGCAGCAAAAGGAACATCTTCCGCATTGTTGGGCGGTTTTTAAAGATGATAATACTACAATAAATATATGTTGTTGGTTGATTCTATCAAGACAAAATGCACAGGCGCTTTCATGTGACAATTGTTTGATCTGACAATGAGAAAATGTGTAGAGAATAAGGTACCAAACGAAGGTATGTCGTTTTTGTATAGCTCTAGTAGAGTTTACGACACTGGCAACACTATAAGGTCATAATATAAGTACGGAAGATTAGATGTGTTAAGAGAGTAACAAAATATATTCTAAAAAAGAAGGAGGAGATACCAGGAAGACAGGTATTTGATAGGAAAAAAAGAGCAAACCATGTCAGAGCACCCACCAACCACCCGCAAGGTATGTCGTAAATACCGCATAAAAAAGAAGTAGGAGAGGGGACAGACAGAGGAGACCGTCGGCTTGCAACACAGGTCGTAAATAAGACGAACGGGGAGTTAATGAAAAATAGGAGTTACCACATCGAGGGGGGGGGGGGTTATAGAAGACAATCTAGCTTGAACTGAGCAAATTGAAGAACGGATAACATTGCAAACACCTTAGCAGAGATATTTCTAATACACACACACACACACACACACACACACACACACACACACACACACACACACACACACTCACACACACAGAGAGAGAGAGAGAGAGAGAGAGACAGAGAGAGACAGAGAGAGACAGACAGACAGACAGACAGACAGACAGACAGACAGACAGACAGACAGACAGACAGACAGACAGAGACGGGGGAGAAGGAAGAGACAGAGGAGTGAACGAGGAGATGGAAAGAAAGAAAGAGAGAGGGAGAAAGAAAGTGAGAGAGACACGCAAAAAGAGATACAGATAGTGAAAGGGAAAGAGGGAGTGTGAGGTCGGGGTAGTGACTTCTTTGTTTTACTGATCAAAAAACATTACTGCCCGTAACATAGTATGAATGAATTCTGTTTCTGTTGTTGTTTTTATTGTACATGATGTCGTTGTTGTTTAGCCAAGCAAAAATTCAAGGACACTTTAAAGTAGCAGCATTTCGTCGATCACCGTACGGGGACTCGACAAACAGGTAATATTTCCGGAACTTTTCGAACAAAAATAAAAATTCTTCGAGCACGCATATCATGAACAAAACCAAAGCTTTTACTCGGTTTCAACATTAGATGCCATTAGGAGTGGCGCTATGAGTTCAGTCAGGAACTACCTCAGTGTTATA